TGCTCGCGATTGCCGTCAAAACCAAACGATATATCGACCAAAAGATTGACCGAATATTTATTCAAACCTTTTTAAACATTTATCATCTTTTTATGACTTGTTTGCAAATAATGGTAACAATTGGTCTGATTTTTGCCACTCTTTCTGCCAAAGCGTTAAAGAAATTATTTTATTAAATCTCAAGAATCTCTTTCTTTTTGGTCTCACTTTAATGTCTTTTAAACATATTTTGTGACATATTTTAATAAAACACGAAAATAACTCAATTTTGACCAAAGATTCAAATTAATTGATTCTATGAATGATAAAAAGACGTGTATTTGTCGTTTCAAAACTTATTATCAAATGACAAATCAATTATGTTTGCAAACGGATGTTCATTATTTAATTACTTTTTAAATGCTTTATTCAATCTTTTATTCACTAATTCATTAAAAAATAAAGTTAAGGACAAAGTCTTCCTACAGTTGTTTACTTATCGCTGATTTTATTTTTGCAATTTTAATATTTCTAACATTGAATGACATAACATGTTATCGTATATAAAAGTAAAATGTTTAATTTTAACTCAAACTGTTGAGCAAAATAAGAAATTTCCACAAATTACCAGAAATTTCTAACAAATTTCTTGGGAAAATGATTTTATATTTCTACTATTCATGTATTTATAACTTGTAATCCTTTTTAACTGATTTCTCGATTCACTACATTTAATATTATATGTAAATAAATATTTAGTTAATTATTTCAAATAAAGTTTATTTCATAAATATTTTGTAACAAATATATAATAAAACAAAATATAATTTATTTTCAAATAGAGTTTAATGTATAATATATACAATAATACAATATATTGTCGTTAACATTGATTTGCATAACCAAAAAGTTATCATTTGTGCAAAAATCGCATTTAAATTACAATTTAAAGTTTTATACCAAAAAAGAGATTTTCAATTATTTGTATTTTAATTAACATTCCGATAATTATTTAATAATATTAGTTAATAGTTAACATGTGCTGAATGTTAAACACAAAATAGAAATATAGTTTTGTTTATTATTTAATTCATTTATAATTTTGTCAAAAAGCATCACTTTTTGCCATTCATTCATAAAATGAATTTATCGTTTGAAAAGTGCAAACTCTTATGGCTTTTGAGTTTCATTTACTCAATAACTGCTGAATCGCTTCTTTCTCATCCATTCTTCATCTCTTCTATGAAAATATAAAATCAAATATTTAGATATTATTTAAGTTTTTGCAAATAGAAAATGCATTATTTATATTAGTGTCGGATTTACTATTTAATGGATATAAAATAGATGTGTTTAAATTCAAACATTCATTTATTTCAATCGACCCGTAAATCAATGGAGAGCTCAGTTTTGCAACACTTGAGGCCAAATACACAGCTCTCCCACACTTTCACTCTCTATTCAATTGCTTTTTCACACTTTTAGGACATTGTATGGCAAACATGACAATAGAGTCGACAATGGCTTCTCATTCTTCCACTTTTTTGTATTCACAATAAATCTTTAATTCATTTCCAGAACATTATTATTATTATTATTCCGTATTTTCAAAATACACAAACATTTATTTGAAATTTAAATATATTTTTACACAAATATAATATCCATTTCAACTGTTCTCTATGCGGGATATTAGCGGTTATTGTTTGCTTTAGCGACAGTACATTATATTGTGTCCACTCGTCAACAATCAAAATGTTTTCAATCCTTTGAAAATGGATTTTCTAAACAAAAATATTAATAGTTTTTGTGAATTCCTGTAAAACTACATTCATTTGGCAAATTAAAAAAAAAAATTTACTGAATATACTGTTAAACATATTGAACATGTAATATGTTTAACATAAAAATAAATTATTATAAATTTACTATAAAAACTAAGCGCTAAACAAATTTCATTTTCTAGAAATAACTTATTATTAGATAAAAATTCAAATTTTGTGTAAATTCTATCCCAAAATACAGTGCAACCAATTTAGTGCACAAATTGTCAACAAATTTGCGTTAATTTTGGTTCATTAAGATTCGCCTGTTATGTGAATTCTCACACATTCTTCTCTAGAATTGCATTTCGCTATAAATATCGTTTAGTGCCCAAAATATTCACATGTTGGTAAAATTTTATTAAATATTTGTTCATTTTTTATCATATGCACTAAATTTATATTGTTTGTAAATCTAAATCTTTATATGATTTTAAAAATCACTACAACTAGCTTTGTAGGTATTTGTTTAGTACCAAATAATGCACAATATCCAGAACATTAATACATGTTCTTTATTGCATATTTTATTAAGTTTATTCATTATCAATGTTAATAATCAATAAAGTTAAAAGAGATTTACAATTATAATGGATCCACACATACAACGAGTTAATTGACACAAAGTTTGTGTCACAAACGTATCCTTTATATAATTATTAAAAAATTTTAAATCTCTAAAAATTCCCCAAAAACACAGAATTGCAAAAGTTTTGCTATTGAAGTAAATGTAAACAATATTATGAACAAAGGGCTCAAATATTTATTGTCTTATATTTTTGCTGATGTTTAGAGATTTTTTTGATCAGCCTTTTTAAAATATGTATTCAGAATATTATTATTATTATTGATTTTATTGAATACATATAATAACAAGTGTAATGTCTTTCTATTTATGATATAATAAGAAATCATTTCCTTTTATTTGCTAAAAGAGCATATAATGAAAGAAATGTGACTTCAGTTCAGTCCTATAATTAAGAGAACCACTAATAGTATTAAATTTCTTTTTCACTCAATCGTCAAAATCCATGGTTTTCTTTACGATTCCCAACAAAATCGATGTATTTTTCCCAACAAATGTTACGCTCAGGGCTTCAAAATACATTCAAATCTCAAATCTAGTCAATAATTGAAAATTTATAATATATAACAAGGTTTTCAGGCAATTCTCAACCCATTCATGACTTAACCACAATTCATGGCAATTTCAGAATCTAATAATGTAAATGTTCAAGAATTACCAATTAGCAATTACTCCACTTCTGTCTACTTCCACTTATAAGACACTATTATCCCATAATTGTGGTCATATTATTGGATTAATTTTTGCTAAAATAATTATTTCAATGTTTTCTATTGAAATGTGAGTTCAATTAAAAACATAATTAAATTAATTTGTGTAAAAAATCATTTATTCCGTAACGTTAAAATCAATGCAAATCAAATCAATCGTTTATTACTGTATTTCCATTACAAGAGAAGCAAATTATATCTTTCAACGATTGATGTGCAAAATAATAATATTTTTCTTAAATGAATGCACTTTTAATGGTTTGTTGAGACGCCTATTCTGTTATCCCTTCACTAATCTATCGATTTAAACCATATATCAAAAAAGGTATTCATTTGAACTCAATATATGGCAATTCATTCTTCTATTGGAATCATATTTTCTGTATAAATAATTCGAAGACAAATAATTCATAAATATTTTGTAAGAAACGCTATTTTCTTTTTTATTGCAAGCATTTGTGTGAAAATAAACTAAAAATTCAGTTCAGTTATGTATTCACACATTGACTATATTTTCTGTCCATAAAATATAAAAACAATTTCCGTTAACACTAGTTGTATATCACATCAAAGGAAATACAACACAATAGCAAAGATTGTTCGCTTAGGTCTCACAATGTTTAGATATCATACATTTGTGTTGATTTTTTAAAATATCCAAAAGTATTTACAGAATATTATTTTTTAAAAATATTTAATAAAATCTATTTTATTCAAAATTCAGTTCTTTCTTATTAAGCATTTATTTTCAAGTTTTATTACTCCGCAAATAAAAAGAGTTGCTTTGCATCTCTCTCTCTCTCTCTCTCTCTCTCTCTCTCTCTCTCTTTCATATAAAATATATTAAATTTTTATGAATATAAATCTTATTCACAATATAGACAGTAATATACATTTCATTTTTGATATTTATGTGAAAATTTCTTAAAATCAAGATTAAATTCAGAAAATGTTGCAAACCTTTTGGTATTTGTCTTATTTATGCGGAGAATGTGTTTAAACAGTGTATTCACTATCAGTTACTTAATGTATATTAATGTTTAACACAATTTAAATATTGTTTATTTGTTATTATACTGAATATAAGTTTGCAAACAAAACAGAGAGAAAAATATTCATTTTATGATTAAATATAAACCATACAATCGCTATACGATTTACAGTCATATTGTTCTGCATTTTCGCGTATATTTTCTCACTTTATTTCTTAATAAACAAAATAAAAGTAAATATTATTTTTCTCACTCATCTCTCGCTGTCTCTCATCTGAGTTGAAATGACTTTTTTAACGTCTTTTTCGCTTTATTTATATTTTTCTTATTAACGTATCATAACTTTGAGAGCAATTGCTTTGCTCTATAAAAATATTGCAATTCTCGTCCATAAATGCATTTCTTCGTCAAATGCTTTTACGTCTGGATTTGAGTATTTAATCGATCGAAACAATCGCATACAATGTTAACACAATTTGCTATAAATATGTCTCCAAATTAACTGCAACTTAGAAATCGTCAAAATTTATTAAAACAAAAGTTTTGATTGAAAAAGAAATAAAAATATATTTATATTTCTGATTGAAAGTGTAAATCGAGAATAACTCCTATTTGTAGCTCTGATTCGTGTCATTGAATCTCTTGCTCTTCAGACCATAAAATAAATATGAAATGCAAACCAAATATAGAGACCATATATTTATATTAATAATATTTCCATTTATATTGTGTTCACTTTTTGTGACGATATTCTCTTGTATTAAACAATAAATTGTGTTTTATATTGATTTATATGTTGTGTTTATTTGTTTTGTTATGATATCTACTTTAAACATACGTTATGTATAGAAAATCAATTAAATACTCGTTTTGTAAATATTTTAATAAAACAAATCAAAATAATCACTGTTTTCGATGTACTGATCATTAATCCGAATGATTATCCATTTTAATCAAATTAGTGTAGTTTTTTTGTCAATGAATACAAGGTATTGCTACAAATACACTAACCTAATGGTTATGCAATCATTATTGTATAATATTTCTAAAATGAATGTTTACATAGAATTTCACTCAAACTCAGTGTACAATCAAATGAATGCTAATCTCTATAATTGTCATTCTTGTCATTCATCACAGACTTTAATACTGTATGAAAACAGAAACCAATTTTGCATTATTTTATATCAATGGCTGTTTTCTAATAACGGTATTATTAGTTGTTTAAACCGATATTTTCATTGTACTAATTTTCATCAAAACTATAATACTATGAAAATATTGAAATAATTTTTTGCTTATCATTCGGGGATCAAAAAATCATTATTTGCAATACAGTGTACTTTTAATGAAAACAGTTATTGCGTGAAAACAACTTTACAGATAAATTTAACGCTAAAAGTGTATAATAAATGTATGTTTTGTTTTAATGCGAATTTAATTTGTTGTCATAATTAAATAAAGTGTGAAAATATGTTAATAAGGAAAATGTGAGTTTTGTTTTCATTTAGCGATCAATAAAGTAAATCTTCGTTTTATTCGTTATTTTAATAAATTTATGGAAATATTATGGAAAGTAAAAGTTTTTGTGTGAATGAGTTTATTCAGTGAAATGTGGGTCACAATTGATTATTGCCTCTCATTGTTGTCACACATGAATACTTTGCGTTTAAATAACAGTCAAAAACTATCTTTTATTCGCATAAAGAATAAAACGGGAAAACGGTTTGCATTTTCTTATCTGTAAAATAGGAGTCTATTGTCTTTGAGACCGAAACTGCAACTATTATTATGGCGAAGATTAGGGCCAATAAAATAGCTGTCAAACCATTCCTCTTAATCCTAAAGCCATTCTTTATCCCAAAGTTGTTTCGAAACAAATTCTTGAATTCATTCCAAAGCATAAAAAGCGAAACAATTATTCAAATCATTTTCGACTCGTTTTTGTCTCAAAAATTCAAATACAACACAATTTTTAGCAAATAATTTAAATAATTTAGAAATGAATGAATGTTTCTTAAAATATATTTTTAGGGAAAATGAGTAAAATGTCAAAACAAAAAGACGTTTTGAACGCAATAAATATGACATAAAATGATTACAATATTTCAAATTCATATTTAAACACAAATAAGTAATCGTAAATAAACTTACATTTTTCCATTTGGAAGCCCCTCTTAAGCGCAGAAATCAATTGTATTTTGGCACTGATTTTCAAATTAAATGATTTACATTTGTTTGCCATTCAGACAAGTCTTTGAAAATAAAATATCATGTTTTTTGTATCAATTTTTCGCCATATTTTGTGTCGTTTTTATGAATAATTGTGTGAAAACTGTCTTTTAATTAAGGATTAGATTTGAAGTGTTATATGTGTTGAACGAACTCCGGATTGAGAAACGAGAAGTTGGAGAACTCTGTTTGGTCCAAATTCATCATGAACAGTTTGTCGGTTGGCGTCAGATCTGTCTTCTCAGATGTGAACTGTTTGTCGAAATTAGAGACATCTTTTCGGTGTTTGATTTTGGGTTTGAACGGCGGCTGAACCTCTCGATTGCCGATCTTTTCCCAATCGATGCGCCGAAAGAAGGGATGCGTCCGAACGTTGGGCTCTCCCGTCTCGCCGCAGCCCAACCTCTTCTGCGGATTCTTCGTGAGAAAGCCTTTGCAAACTTCTTTGGCCTCTTTTGACAGCGCTTTGGGATAACTGACGTTATGGTCGGTAATGGAGGCAAAGAGTTCCTCTTCGTCTTCGCCATCGAAGGGCGGCTGTCCGACGAGCATCTCATACAAGAGCACTCCGAACGCCCACCAGTCGACCTACATTTCACACAATTAATACATAGTATGTTATGTTGTGTTTGCAAAGAGTGTTACAAATAATAAATTCGTCTAAAAATAGATTCATTTAAACAACAATTCGCTGAATTCCTAACAATTGTTATCGCATTTCAACGTTTAGTCAATCAGTCGTGAAAACGGTTGCGATTTTCTCCGAGTCTTAATTATAGGTCTAAAGTAATGCCAATTATGAGTAGAAAAAAGACACAAAATCTGTCGCTCATTAGTCCTCATAATTGTCTTTTCAAATATCATTCAAATATTAATTACACAATAAATGCTTTTTACAACAAATCGCTATTTAGTCTCAAATGTTTGCTTCAAAACGGGATTCAAATTTCAATTCTCTGTTTCTCTATATTTCCAAATAATTCTCAAAAATAGCATTAAATTTATGGTCAAATTATAACCAATTATGAGATTTAAATAATGAATTGGAGAAAATATCGACGATTTTGGAGCTTTGGTTGCATTTGTCGATTGCATTATTGGCTTCTCGTGTTATATCATTATCGGCTAATAAAGCATTTCTTTCATTCAATTTGTTTCGATTAACAAATCATTATTTATTCATTCGTAAGAAAAGCTATTCATTACTTAATAGTACACTAATGTGTGGCAACTCTTCGAGAGTCTTATCATTACAAAGAACTGATAAATAATCGAAATGTAATTTGCGGTCAATTGCGAGACAAAACTATTTTCGCTGACGAATACACATGTTTTATGAATATAATCGTCGCTTACATTCATTTGTATGGAAAATATTTGTATTTTTTATTCTTCTTTTATTTGGCACTTGAATTGTAAATATTTAGACTTTTTTCGCTCAAATTCTTTGAGTTATAAATACAATAAATGAAGAATTTTGTGAATTTTCCTTTCATTTTACGAAATTTATTCTCGTGTATAAAAAAGAGTGAATTCAAGCGGAAAGGCATGAATAGAGGCATTGAATAAATCAATAAAATCTATAATTACATTATGTTTGTTTAAATGATACAAAATATTTCACATGTTATCATTTCGTTGACATTTAAAACGAATTTTAATATAAAGTCAATTAAAAATCCATAATTTAGTAAAAATAAATCAATTTTAAAGAGAAAACTGTTTATAATAAAAATGTAAACAATTTTTACTTAACATTTAAAGCAAACAATTTATGCAATTTCTGTAACAAATATTTAGATTCAATTTTCTCTACAAATTGAGAGTATTGTTTGCAATAAGTATTACAGTATTAGGAAATGTCTTTTTTAATGATTTTGTAAAAGTTTCTTTTATAATTAATTCTCATTTTCTTAATTTATATATTTGTTCACTAATTAAATGTAAGAATTTGAACGAAAAAGCAAAATGAAAACTCATTTATTAGCGTTTCGTTAGACATCCATAAATAAGATTGGATTTAAAACTAATTTCCATTTAATAAAGAGATTAATAATTGAACACGTTTTCAGAGAAATGGTTGTAAAATATATATTTGGAGAGGAATTTAGACGAACATTACATGTTATGGCATTGGATTAACGTTTTTTATTTTGATAAATAATCTTTTTAAACAAAATAAATTGTATTCAAAGTTGTGTTTGTTTTATAAGAATTACTTTGAATTAATGGCTTAAAGCATTGGAGACAGCCTTTTATCGATTTCTAACATTATTCCTATAAATCTCTTCTAACTTATTGAAGACTTAAGATAATAGACAAGAATTCAACTGTTTTTTAAGAGAGACTTATGTTTTATTGAAGAAGAGGCAAAACCTGTAACCACTAAATGAACTTAATTTGACAAAAAGACTTCATTTTCCAATACTAATGTCCATATAATCTACAAATCTTTGCGTTTATTTCACAAATTAATGTTTTGCCAGTTTTTTAATTCTTGAGTTAAAACTTTTGTTTCAAATACTTTTGTGATATAAAAAATTCAAATAAATTTAATTAATTTTCTGGCTTTCAATTCGCCTTTTGTTGCGTAAAAACACATTAAATGAATTGAAAAGTTAGACATTGAAGGAGTGAAAGGATTTTCGCAGAATTTTCATTAAAGAATAACATTATAAACAGTTATATATTATTATGGGTTTTGATGTCAATAAAAATTAGTGTTTTAGTGAATTAAATTTCACTCAAAATAATTGCGCAATTTTTAATCCGTTGAATAATTGCGAGCTTTTATGCAAATTAGGGCTCAATTTTGACATAATTTGAATCATGAAAATGTGTGACAAACCGATTTGCCGTAGGGCTGGTACAGAATGATTTCCGGCGCGATGTAGTCGGGAGTTCCGCAAAATGTTTTGGTCGTTTTGTCGCCGAATATACTCTCCTTACACATCCCGAAGTCGGCGATCTTGATGTGTCCGTCCGCGTCCAACAGCACGTTGTCTAACTTGAGGTCTCGATAGACGATTCCTCGCGAGTGAAGGTAGAAGAGGCCGATCGCGATCTCCGCCGAGTAGAACACAGCGATTGGTTCCTTGAATTTGCCGCATTGTTGGATCTGAAACATGAGATCTCCGCCGTTGACGTACTCCATAACAAAGTACAGTCTATCCATGGTTTGGAAGCACGAGTGCAACTGCACGAGAAACGGCGGCTTCTCTGCCAACGCCAGCACTCGCTTCTCAATCATCGCGCACTCGACGTCGTCGTCTTGAATGATGATATCCTTCTTCAGGATCTTCACGGCGTAGAGTTCGTCGGTTCCCTTCCTCTCCGCGAGCATCACTTTCCCGAAGCTTCCCTTTCCTAAGACCATAATGTAGTTGAAATCCGACGCTCGGATCACATCGTGTTTCCCCATATTGTGCGGTATATCCGACGTGTGTTGCGGAACGTCTGTCGGCGACTTACAGCCGGCTCTCATCGGCGCCAAAGACATGACAGACTTGAGTCGCGAGTTCTGCTGCTCGTTGAGGTCTTCGCCGGCCGCCGGCACCGGAACGTTGTAGTACTCGCCCTCTTCTTGTGTCAACAGTTTGAACCAACCGTTGGCCTCCTTTTTGATGATCTCAGAGATGCCGAAGGAAAGCGCGCCCATGAAGTCGTTGCGAGAGGTGCGGTCCCAGTCCCACATCTCGATCAGCAGTCGTCGGTCTTTGTCGTCGGGCTTCAGGTCAAAGGTCAGCGTTTCTCCCCATTCGGGGTTCAAATTGGCTTTAATTGTTCGCGTCTTGCGTTTCACACTCTCTCCGCTGTCGGGAATGAGTTTGCATTTGACGTAAGGATCGCTTAATCCGTTTGGATCCATAGGAATGAGATTCTTTGCCTGTTTTACTTCGCAGAACAGTTTATTCACATTTGAGTAGACCTTCAACTCTATTCTTCCTCTGCGTTCCGTGTGATCACATCCGCACAGATTCGGCACCTGAAAAGAGACGGTCACTACTGGCGGTCAACGCGTGGCCGTGTTTTGCATACCGAGTCCTGACACTTCTTGTGGACATTCATATCGCACGCCCGACACCGATAGCCCTGATGTATGAGTCCGTAGAGAAGAGATCCGCAGTGATCGCAAAATGTGGGCGAAGTATAGGTGTGGACAATGAAGTGGTGTTTGGTCCGGGCGTCGTCTGAATCCACCCCTTTGTCCACTCCCGGGCACTTGAAGGCCACAAACTCGTGGCATCGTTTGTGCACCACATATGAACACACCTGAAGTGACAATTGTTTCAATTCGCAAATTGTTGCCAAATATTTATGCAAAAAGAGTTTATTCTTTAATTGAATCGTTTTTTGTTTGCTTTAGTTAATTATCTCTTAACGAAAACTAATTAAACGCGAAATTAATTATTCAAATGTTTAAACAAGAATTTTTGCAAAGAAATGAACGAAAATCTAAATATTTATAAATAATAAAAGAATTAAAATATCGATTGAAGAAAGCGTTTGCTTTTGGTATTGAATGAAACGAATAGTAAGGGAGTGAAGCATCTGGCGGTCAAATCAGGTTTTTGGATAATAAAACGGATCTTTCGGTGAATTGAATGCTTAGTTCTTATATAGAAATCGTTTTTTGTATTCATTTATTTGATTCAGTCTTTATGTTTGCGAACAACAAATTGCGAGCAACTCTTGTGTCCGACTCTTATCACTGATAGTATTGACACAAAAGGATAAATAAATTGTAAATTAAGATCAAGAATGCGTTCGTCTTATTGTTGTTCAGTAATTGAATTCCACTTTTTGTTAAACCCTATAATCACAACAAATTCAGACATTCATTGAATTTGGATTAAAAGCTTTCGCTTAAATAAGTTTGTTATCGAAATGTACTCTTAATCTGATTTAAGCGAAACTCATTCATAAATGATTCAAAACATGTCTCATAAATATCTATCTCAACATTGAATTAACATTTTTACAGATTTCTTAATATTTAATTCAATCATTGGTTTACAAACAAAATATAATTCAATCGTAAATTCAATTAATATTTATAGAAATGTCTTTTTGAGGAAATATACGTTTAACGCCTATTTGTGTGCCTTTTCGACAGGTAATCAATGAACGAATAATTTATAGATTTTGTGAACAAAAATAGTGATATCTTATTGAATAAACACTTGGTTTCAAAATAATTACAACAAAAATTGATTCAATTCAATGTCATCTCATTTAAGGAGAGGTTTACGTCACAAATCAGTTATTAAAATAGTATAATTTATTTCAATTATATTCACTGTCATTCTCTTCTCATATTGTATTTCAGTTTTGAGTTATTTTTAAAGAATAAAACATTTTTATTAAATTAGAAACCATTTTAATATTTAATAAATAATAACTTGATAAATTACAATTTGTTCACTTCAAATGGTATCAATTCCGCACACATTTAAATGCAAATAATATATTGCTTGCAATAACATTAAATTGGATTTTAATCCTCACAGATATCATCGAAATTAATCTTTGATTAAAACTGTTTAAACGTTTTCGTAATTGTGTTTCATTTTTGCCATTTTAAATAATTGGTTTTAATAATGAAAAGCTATTCAATTGCTTAAGACTTGAATCCGATTATAATTTTATAAAATTTACAACATTTATTATCTCTGAATTTAAATGAGTTTTTATTCATTTATCAACATTTAAATCTCGATTTCTTGTTTTTATTAGAATTTAATGCAATTCTTTGACATATTTAGTACAGAAATGCGTGAAAATATATATTTATAAAAATCAATATTAATGTTGAGAATATGAGAATATTTTCACTTTTATATGTAATTGAATTCAAATTCATGTGTATTTGGATGAGAAATACCCCAAAGGAAGAGCAATAAAAAGCCATTTCTGTATAATTTGCACAAAATTACTTTCAATGAAATAGATTTAATTATTTTGCAAAAGTTTTAAATAAATATTTTCGTTAATTAAAACAATATTCATATCAATTGTAATTTAATTGAAATGATTTCGATTCTCATGAAAGCGATATTTTGGGAATCATTTGAGAGAAAAAGAAACCTTTATTTAAGAGTTGAAGAGAAAACGGTTGACAAACAAATCATTGTCTGCTTTGAGCCCATTATCTGATATATAATTTTGATGTCAAATGTCGTCTCTTATGTCCAAAACTAGTGCTAATATCGATTGAGTGTTAATACACAACACATTTACAGCGATTATATAAAACTCGAGTGAATTGTTATTACTATGGCTCACAAGTCGTCTCTTTGACATCAAAAGAGCTCTTTTTGGCAAATACTGAAACCAATATTCAAAACTACGATCACATGACTGAACATTATTTTGCAAATGCAATTCCTATTAATTTGCTGTCGATTCTGTGTTTCAACAGATGTTTTGTCTACATTTCTCTCTGACACCAAACGGCTCTCTATTATTCATTATCTAAATTGCAATCAAATAATAGTAATAATGAAAGTGCGATAAAAATAACGCTTTTTCACTCGTTTTTCGTGTTTTAACAACACTTGGAAATAAAAGTGTGTTCATTGGGAATGAATGCAAGATTGTTGTGCACGACATTACCTGACACTGGAATCCTTGTTTCCCGAAACCCCAGATGAAGTCCTTGCAATGGGAGCAGAAAGTGGGCTGTTTGAAGAATCGTGGTAAGAATTTGTGATTCTGTACAGTGAACACGTTCTTCTTCTTGAGCGCCCCCTTCCGCGCCCGAACCAGTCCTTTGCCGGCCCTCACGATGTCGTTGATGGAAGTGGAGGGCGACGTCCGGTCGCCCAACGAGTTGTCCGACGAGAAGTACAGCAGATTCTCCTCTTTCTCTTCGGCCATCGCTCGCCGTCTCTTTCGCCTCAACTCTCGTGAACTTTGGTTTTGTCCGAAAACCACATTTCAATTCTTAATTAACGGATGTTTTGTTTGAAAACCGATTCTTTTAGCGTTTATTTTCTCCGCATTTTTGCTCTCATATTATCTCCGAATCAAAACAACAAATAAACGTAACGACGACTCGATGTGTGCCATATATAAGACGAATGAACGGCCAAAACACTTCTTCGTCTATCTTTCTCTCACTGTTCCTCTCAATCACCACATGCTCTGTTCATCTCTTCCTCAATACGCATGTTGTCTCTCTCTCTCTCTCTCTCTCTCTCTCTCTCTCTCTCTCTC